TAGACAACTGCATAATCAGGACTGACAGCACTTGCAAAATATGACCCATAATTCAGTTTCATTCATTCCTAATGAATTGCCAAGGCTAACACAGCTCGAAGAAGCTTTGTGACATGTAATCAGATCAGATCCAGGTTTGGCACGTTTTGGCCAGCTCTGCAGCCCCACACACCCTGCTGTGGGATTTGTGACTCTTCAGGGGGCTCCCAGGACAGGCTGCTTCACTATTTCTGTAGCACAAGAGTTTGCAAGCAAGTGTCAGGGCTCACGGGCACCTGCCCACTCTTTATTGCTAAATTTCCTCCATACTCAGAAAGAAATTAGAAGTTTTTAGAGAGTATTCATACTGTTTTACAGCAAGAAGCCTTTTAAAGTTAAAACACTTACAGAACTCTCAGACTCTTGTCACTGTACACAAAGGTATTCACCATAAAAACCTCAATGTAATAAAGAATCCAAGTCAGTTTGCTTCAACCTCCCAAGGAAATTTTTTATTTTTAGGTTTCTTCTAGCAGCACGAGGGGAAAAAAGTTACCTCATTACTTGCATCACCTGTGGTGTGAAATTAATTTTCCACTAAGCAACATAGTTCTTGTATATCAATACTGGTTATTATAGAGATTTTTTTGCTCTGCTCCAGATTAAATCTCTAAGCTATAACACAAGTCCCTGGCAGGTGAAATACCCATCGTCTACCCACCTACTGCCAACCCTGAAACAGTTTTCTCAAAGCAAAATGGTATGTGCATAACTTTTCTTTGCTAGGTGAAGTATGAGCTATTCAATTGACCTTTAATGATGCTGAAAAATAAATATTATCAGCCCACTCCCACTCTCAGATTCAAACTAGAAATGAATGAGTAACTTTTCCCTCAAGCCGAATGATTGATCCTGCTTTGTGGCTCATATTCACATGATACAACTTTTCAACTTGGTTAGTGGAGCTGGACATCAGGAGTAAAGTGGGGAGAAGAAATCAGTGCACACTCCTCCCACCCCTCACCCCCAGTCAAGCTCCTTTGCTGTGATTGCCAGCATGGGTTTTTGTAATTGCTGATCACAACCCCTCTGACAACCTGAACCAGCAAGGACAAAGGAGATCATATAAAAGAAAAGTCCTGAGATGGAAAACAAGGGTTTGTAGGGCTCTTGGTGTTGCCTTATTATCTCTGAATAGAAGACCTGTAAGGAGGTTGTAGCGAGGTGGATGTTGGTTCTTCTCCCAGAAGACAAGTGATAAGACGAGGAAATGGCCTCAAGTTGCACCTCAAGTTTACGTTGGAGATTTTGAAGAATTTCTTCACTGAAATAGTTGTCAAGTGTTGGAACAGGCTGCCCAGGGAAGCAGTGGAGTCACTATCCCTGGAAGTACTTAAAATATATAGATGTGGCACCTAGGGACGTGGTATAGTGATGGACCTGCAGTGTTGGGTTAACAGTTGGACTCGATGATGCTAAGGGTCTTTTCCAGCCTAAACATTTCCATTAGTCTCTGATTCTATACTTCCCAAAAAATCAAATCCAGCTATTTTCTCTTTGCAACTCAAATTCTAGAAATGTTGCCAACTGTTAGAGAATATATTATTCAATTAGTAAGAAGTAAGAATGCTTGGAACAAATATAAACCTTCTAATTCGTTTATTTTTTTTAAGAACTTAAGGTTACAATTCATGTAAAACTTGCTTCTAATATTATCTCTTATTCAGAGCTGGAAGAACTGACTGTGCACAGACTCAGTGACTTGACAAGGGCTGTTAGAATAACATCCTCCATGGTCCCTGACTACAGTTCAGTGGGGTTTTAAGTTGCAATGTTAAGGGAAAAATCCTTAACTTCACCTGTAATCTACTGACCCTTAATGATGTTTATAAATCAAGATCATTAGGACCAAGAACTCCTCTCTACTGAAAAACCTCAAATCTAGCAGGATTAAAAAAAAATAAAAATTTAAATTAAAAACTAAAATAAATATTATATTACCTCATGAGACTTCATACTTGCTTGCAAAGGGGAAAGCAAGTCTGAGTGTATCTTGAGTAGATCACTTCAAGACTTAAGACCTGTAAGTCTCCCAAGAGCACAACAGGAGAAGTTTCTTTCTGCAAAATACACGCCTCTGCTTGGCTCTACTAGGGGAGCTGGGACAGTCATCTCAGCTGAGCTCTGCTCACACCAGCTTCAGAAGCCTGATGTGATTTCCATTGAAGGGGATCACTAAACCTCCAGCAGCAACTGGAACAAGCCACTTGGAAAAAAGCAACTAAAAAGAAGTATTTGATGGAGGAAATTAACAGAATGAGCTGGTGTCCAAATATGACTAGTTTCCAATATGTCCATTTTTCTCCTCTTTTCCTGTTCCACCTACATTTGCTACGAGAATTTGAATAAATGTTCCTAGTTCCTCAGTTACAGCTCATTGATTTCTGTAGATGCTGTCTCCCCCTTTCCTCATTCCCCAAACTTGGGATCTCGAACTCCAAAACATGTTTGTAATAGTTGGTAGTGCATAGTACAAAGTGAGCAGGACCCAATAAAGACCCAACATTCCTGTCTTTAGACTCATTTGGCCATGGAAAGACCTGCAGGAATGTGTCTTCTCTAAAGAGCCAGTCTTAAAGACAGAAATGCACTGCCACATTTCCCCGCTATGGAATACAGAGTTGGAAAGCCTGGAAGGAGGTATTTCAGTGTCATGGGAGACAATCCATAATTAAAGTTCATGTAAGAATAATAGGGGAATTTGGCATTGCCTGAACAGCTGAAATAACCCAGTATCACCCATAACATTCAGGCATGGTGGTACAGATAAGATGTTGATGTAATGCAGGCTTTTTCTTAGGGGTTTTGCTCCTCATTATGAGAAAAGGGAAGAATTTAAGAATGGCTTTTAAAGAGGAGGAATTGTGATCACCTAGCAGTGATTAATCAAAACATGTTTTAGAAGAAAGGGTTACAGTATGACAAATTGAAATATCCTTTGAAGCCAAGATAATTACGGAGCAAATCTCAGAAATGTATTTTAGCAAGAAAGTTATCACATGCTGGAAACGAAAGTGTTCTTTTTTCCCTATTATTCACAGTATCATAATCTCCAGAATCAAAAGCTAGCTCTGGCATGTAGCAAAGATGTTTGCTTTAAAACTATATGAAATGCCAGCAGAAGTAAGAAAATACTTACGCATATGTATAGGTGCTACAGACATGCTCACCCACATATTGTCTGGGTCTCTGAGCTCAGAAAAACCTTCCCACAGACCAAAAAAATAAATTAATCTTTCCACCTAATTCTTCCTCTGTTAGGTCCCCTTTGGGGAGCTTCCACCATTGTAACATGAGTCACATTCATGAGTCACACTGATACTTCCCCTGCAATGAGTCCTCCATCAGAGTGCTATTCCAACCCAAAGACTCATTCATGGCACTGTTCTCACTCAAATTTGAGAGACAATCACTCAGGTGGGCAATAACACTATTTTCTGATAAAAAAAAGAAAGATTTGGCCCCAAACTGATCCTAAGAGAGAGAGTCACCATCATCTGCTGGTTTAAAAACCAGAAGACCTTTTTTCTTCCTTTTGCTCTGCAACATGTTGAGGACTGCCCTTCTGCAAGTTACTTGGAATAATTCTCCACAAAACCAGATGACATTCGTCAGTTGGTGGGCTGCCCATTCCTAAGCTCAGAACTGGACTCTTAACTTCTCTGTTTCACCAGAAAGGATGCCAAAACAGCACATTGCTTCTTCTTAGAAGCAATAGCAACATAACGCATTTACTGAAGACACACAGTGAATCCGTGATACTTTCTCAGGACTCTCTTTCATAATAATATTCCATAAACACTTCACTGATGTAAAATTCAATATATATCTTCAGGTACTTGATATGTCTCATTGGAAGTTACTTCAAAACACCATCCCAGATGTGGAAAAAGACCATACTATTTGTATGTTCAGAATAGCAGCATCTTGCTGGAAAATATGACAGTTGGTAGGATTGAAACTTTAATAAAATCCACTGAAATGCACTCTTTGAAAAAATAAGTCATGGAACTTTTGAAGTGGAATCACCTGTTTAACCTATTTGAGAACCCCCCCCTACTATTTTATCAATTAGTATCTATACAAATTCCCCCAAATCAGATGTCTAAACATGCTATCATCGAAGAGAAAAAGGAAATTCAGGCATGCACCTAGAGTAATCCTGGTTGGTAATTAAGAACACAGCAACACAGACAGATTTTGCAGGTGCATCTTCCTGAGAACGATTCCATTAATGTCCACACTGCGCAGATGGGCTGTGTTATTTTAAGGTTTTAATCAAAATATGTGAAAACAGGCACAGCACCATGTGCATACTAATGCTGTGAAGTGTCAACTGTGAAACAGTCAGTACACTCTTTTAAGAACGCTAGCTACGTAAAAACACAGAAGCGAAGGAACTGCTGAATTAGGCAGTTTAGAGCAAGGCTCAGAGGCTACAGCTAAAAAGTGATGCACAGCACATTTGTAATAAATGTGGACTGAAGACAACATAATCCTGTTAACACAGCACAGTATTCCCACATACTGATAGAAACTGCAGTGTCACACCAATAGAATACAAGAAAGTGTTAAGTCTTCAAAATCCCAAGGTATTAATTAATGATTAGGAAAACCAATCACTTTCAGTGAAGGCAAACTGCATCCTCTAATCCCAACTCAAGGGCTGACCAAACCTGATTCAGGTGACAGGCTCACCTGGCAGACTCTGTGGTCTGAAAACTTTGTTGACTACGTAAAAAAATAAACAAATGCAGATTAAGAATAACGGAACACAGTTCCTTCTGGATTCTCTTTGTAAGAGACAGATCCTGTTCCTGCATGTCTGCGTAATTAAAAAAAAAATTCTTCTGAATTTAGGTTTCCTCCCTGCGCAAGGGAAAAATGGATGCAGCAGAGGTTGTGTTCAGAGTCACTGTGCCTCGGGTGCCAGGCTTGCAAATCCAAAAATGTCCTCTTACCTGCACAAACACAGCACCACCCGAAGTGGTGCCTGGTGCCCGGCTCCTGAGCCCAAGTGCGCCCAGCGGGGACTGCGGTGGCGATGGGCGGGAGGGGCAGGAGCGCAGAGACAGACACACGGACACGGACACATGCACAAACGGACACACTCCTCCAAGCCCCTCTGCTCACACACGCACTCACAGGGACATGTCAGTGACACGACGGGGATGGAGGAGTGTGTCCGTTTGTGCATGTGTCC